AATAAACAGAGGCAATAAATTACATTAATTCAGGCCTATTGTTTCAGGGTCGCAAAAATCCAGACAACCAGCAGGAGGCAACGATGCTGTTCTTTTTGCTATTCGGTGGGCTTTGTACAGGCAGTGCTTGACTTACGACCACAGCTGAGCCCAAAATTGATGTTGCTAAGTGAGACATTTGCTAAGTGAAGTGAATCACTGCGGTTGTTAAGTTACTCACACGGTTGTTAAGTGAATCTGGCCATTGATTTTAATCGTCCGACGGTCGCAAAAGGGGGGAATCGCGTGACACACACACACACACAAGGACACTGCGACTGTCATAAATATGAGTCAGGTGGCCAAGCGTCTGAATTTTGGATCACGAGATTGTGGATCTGGATCTCAATGGATCTCAATCTTGGCGACTTTAAGAGAGGTGGACTTCAACTCCCAGAATTCCCCAGCCAGAATGGTTTTTTCAACTTTGGCAACTAAAACAATTGGACTTCAACTCCCAGAATCCCCCAGCCAGAATGATTTTTCAACTTTGGCAACTAAAACAACTGGACTTCAACTCCCAGAATCCTCCAGCCAGAATGATTTTTTCAACTTTGGCAACTAAAACAACTGGACTTCAACTCCCAGAATCCCCCAGCTGGCCTAACCGGCTGGGGAATTCTGGGAATTGAAGTCCACAAGCCTTAAAGTGGCCAGGTTTGAGGACCCCCTGCTGTAATATCAGTGTCTGGGATATTTTTCAGTGCCAGCTGGCTGGGGGATTCTGGGAGTTGAAGTCCACAAGTCTTAAAGTTGCTAAGATTGAGAAATCCTGATCTAATCTAACCCTCTGCAGTATTTAGGATGCCTCCTAATTATTCCCAAAGGCAGGATGGTGCCTGGGGCGCCCTCCTTTCTGCCCTCCGTCAATACGTACAGCTGGTCCCCAGCGTGGTCCTTTGGTCACCCAGCAAATCTCCGTGTGGCAGACGGTGCAACGGATCCAGTCGCAGCCATCCTTCTTCTGCACAATGATCCTGCAGCTGGGGCAGTACATGGCCTCCTCATTCCTCACCAGTCTCTGAAAAAGGGAGCAGAGCTGCCCAAAACAAGCCAGACCATCTGCCCGCCTCTTCCTCCTGGCACCAGGAGGGAGAGGAAAGGGCTGATAAGAGTCCTAGTTTGGTTTAGTGGTTAAGGCACCAGGCTACAAACTGGGAGACTGTGAGTTCTAGTCCCGCCTTAGGCATGAAAGCTGGCTGGGTGACTTTGGGCCAATCACCAGGAGACAGTACGTTCTAGTCCCATTTTAGACATGAAAGCTGGCTGGGTGACTTTGGGCCAATCCCCAGGAGACGGTGAGTTCTAGTCCCGCCTTAGGCATGAAGGCTGGCTGGGTGACTTTGAACCAGTTTCTCTCTCTCAGCCCAACCCACCTCACAGGTTTGTTGTTGGGAAAATGGGAGGAGGGAGGACTATTAGGAATAGTTGCTGCCTTGAGTTGTTTATAAAAAATAATAAATGTGGGTGAAAGAGAGAAAGAGATAATATAGATAGACGATAGAGATTAGATAGATATATTGATAGACAGAGATGATTGAGAGAGATGATAGGGCTAAGGTTAGGATAGAAGGATGGAGGGAGGAAGGGATGGAGAGACGGAGACAGATTAGAGATAGATAGATAGATAGATAGATAGATAGATAGATAGATAGATAGATAGATAGATAGATAGATAGATAGATAGAT